CCAGTCCAGGGATGGCAGGAGCAGCCCGAAGACCTGCCTGCCCAGACAGGGTAGAGGAGTCTTCCTCCTCCTCCTGCTCTTGCAGCCGGTTTCCCCAAATGGAATACATACTAAAGTCAAAGCGGCTGCCAGAGCAATCTTTGCGTTTTATTATTCTATTTCAGAGGAAGGCTGCAAAACATCACCACTCCATATGGAAACATTTGGATATATAAATATAGATCATATTTCTGTACAACTGTTAACACAAATGTGAAAAAATAGTCTCATCTTGCAATAAAACTAGAACTCTCTTTATAAATACTGAGTTTTGAGGCAGCACAAGGCGGACGATCCTTATGTGCCAGGCACAGTTTGGCATCAGAGGAGGCATTCAAAAGAGATTGGCCTGCAGGGTCTTTGGAGTCACCTGCCTGGGCTACAGTGGGGTCTCTACTTAAGAACTTAATCCGTATTGGAAGGTGGTTCTCAAGTTGAAAAGTTCTCATGTTGAATCTGCATTTCCCATAGGAATGCATTGAAAACCATTTAATCCGTATCTGCTCTTTTCCGTCCATAGAAACTACAGTGGAACCTCTACTTAAGAACTTAATCCGTTTTGGAATGGTGTTCTTAAGTTGAAACGTTCTTAAGTTGAAGCAAAATTTCCCATAGGAATGGACTGAAAACCAATTAATCCGTTCTGGCTGTTTTTTTATTATGTAGAGGTGCGTTCATCAATTGAAGCATTAGTTCCCATAGGAACTAATGCAAAGCTGGTTAATACGTACTCTACCACTAGGGGGAGAATTTTTTTTGACCTAAGATGACCTAAGGTTAAAAAAAGAGCAGGAAAGGTTTTTTTTCCTGTTCTTATCTTGGATTTCTGTTCTCAAGTAGAAGCAAAATTTAGCAAATGGAGCTGTTCTTAAGTTGGATTGTTCTTAAGTAGGGACGTTCTTAAGTAGAGACCCCACTGTACTTGTCTCGGTCTGGGGGGGGGACGGCAGGGCAAGAGTGGCCAGAGGGCTCCCCGCCCCGAAGGCTCCGGAACCATCCCAATAGCAGAAGCCCTCTG